AGCACCTTGCCTTTCCCATGTTTAGTAGAGTTGAATACAAATGACCTGAAAATCACTTAATCAGTTTAATTTTATATCTAGGTAATAAGCAGAGCTTGTGTTATGCGGTACTAGACCAAATCAAACTGATATAAATACTTAGATATTTTTTTGTAAATACATACATAATATACAGATTGCCGTCGTCATTACCGTGAATATAGAGACAATTGGAATTTATATTATTATATGATCTTGATTCCTATGCATTACCTGTCCATACCACGATAGACGATTACTCTTCAACCTCTCCGACACCGGCGCCACTTTCATACTTCCTCTAATGTATTCATTCCTTATCTTGTCCATTCTTGTCACACCACACATCCACCTCAACATTCGCGTTTCAGTTGCATGCAGTCGTCTTTCATCCGTCGCCTTTACGGACCAGCACTCAGATCCATACAATAACATATAGACTATAATTTAAAAAGATATAACTTGCGAAATAGTACGACAAATGTCATGTAAGTGTGACGCAGACGAAGTTGCACAGGTCAGCTAGTCTATATACATATAAATAAAATTAGAGTGTCTGTTTGTAATATTGAAATAACAGTTTCTTACTACGTGTTACTGGAGCGGGAACACAACTACTATTTTAATAAAAACTAAATACTAGTAAAAATGTGTATTCTTCCCAAAAGGGCTCACAGCGAGGGAAAGTAACAAAACAATATGTTAGTCAAAAGTGACATATAAAAAATTTATATAAAAAATATAAAGTTAATAAAAAGAATGGTAGACAAGCGGCCAGTAACACTACATGCATATGAATATAAACACGGTACATACACCAAAATAACATTTTTCCAATTTTTCTCTGTCTGTCTGTTTGTTCCGGCTAATCTCTTAAATGGCTGGACCGATTTTGACGGGACTTTTTTAGCAGGTAGCTGATGTAATAAGGAGTAACTTAGGCTACTTTTATTTTAGAAAAATAAAGTTAAATTCCACGCGGACGAAGTCGCGTGTACAGCTAGTTATTAAATTAAATTGCCCCGCCTCGAACCCGGCTCAATGATTCTCATACCGCTGACAGCATATCCGAGCTAAATTGCTCGAGAAGTCCTTTGTGCTAGATTCGATCAGGAACAGGGACCAATTTTTCAATTTAAGTAAAGAGTTATACAGAAAATCAGCTGTTATAGTATGCAGGTCGTGACTATAAATCTAGACACGCGGTAGCGTGTCAAGCCGAGTTTCAAGTAAGAGAACTGGCGAGCAGCGCCGTGTGTGTATTTACACGAACCATTTGGAGCCACTTTTGACCCCCTCATAACTCAAAAACTCTTTCACATAAACCTGTCAAATTTGGTTCATATATTGAGACTTAATATGTGCGAGATAAATATGTGTTCCAAATTTCATAGATATATCTCAAACGGTTATTTAAATATTAACGTCCAAATATCGTCATTTTTATCACTGATCAACTATATCAAAATTATAACCCACTTCCAGATGACCTAGGAAGTTCAAATTTGGCATGCAGATAGGTAATTAGGTGAATATCCTTAGGCTACAGTATATTATCCTAAGTTATAAGAAGAAATGATATTTTATATTGTTATAAATATATTTCAGGACAGACCATTGAACTTGGCACCCATTTAGATCTCATCTCTTTTGTCGTAGAAGTCAACAATCAAGGCATATATCATAATATTAAACTCGGCTATCATTTCACATTTATGTTTTTGATGGGATATCATTATTAACTAGATTAAATTTGAATAATTCACCCAAATTTGAATTTAAAAATGTATCTGTATTATTTTAAACATATACAACATTTCTTTGAAAAGATTACGAGCTGAGTTTCTTGTCAGTTCTCATCTCGAAATCATTCCGAACTCATAACACAAGCTCTGCTTACAGTGGGTCTAGATGGCGATGTGTTAATTGTCCAGAGTTATTTATTTATTTTTTTACTTATTTATTATTAATCTAATATATAAAATTCTCGCGTCACAGTTTATTCAGTAGAGCTAGAAATAGGGTTATAACAATTTTTATACTTCTAAGTGCGAAGGTTGGCTCACCCCAAAATTTTTTTTTCAGTTTTTCGATAAAAAGTATTTTTATTTTTTTATTATGTGCCATTAAAAAATACATACAACCCTAAATTTTCACAAGTTCAAGGTATTTTATTGTTTGTTATTAGCTGCATAGAGAGATCACTCGTTCAGTGTTGCCAACCGTATCGTGATATTTATTTGGGCGTAGACAACCACCAATCCCTATTTTTTAATGGCAACATTTATATATTTAAAAATAACGTTTACCGGGACAGCTAGTGAAAGTATAAAGTAGTGAGTTTTTTTCGGACTACTCTAATGCTGGCCGTAGCTGTCCTTTACAGCTTCACCGGACGATAGGGCGCGAGTGCAGATGGCACTCCAAACCAAAGGAAGGACTTATGGAGCGGAAATCTGACCACTTGCTTTCTATACCTTTATATTATCCTGGTACTTTCACTGGAGTGTTGCAGTTTAAAGACTTTGCAAAGTGTCGTCTATATGTGACAATGCTTTTTTCGGACTACTCATGCTGTTGGCCGCAGCTGGCCCAGCTTCACCGGACGATAGGGGGCAGTGCAGATGGTCCAAACCAAAGGAAGGACTTTTGAATTGACGGATATGACTTTAGTCTGAGGGCACCACTAGGGGTTCGTTCGATAGGGATCGATCAGGAGGAGGGGGGGGGGGGGTGAAATAGGTTGAAAGAAGGTTGTCATAAACATTTATATATAGAAACTCAACTTAGTTACTTATAAACCTAAACAGGTAATATCGTTCGGATATGATACCAGTTAAATCGATATTGAATGAGATAATGAGATAATCTTTGTTATCATCCGTCATACTCGTGAACGAGTGCTGCTTGTAGGGACTGGTCTGCTCTAATCACTACGACTGATTTAATCTTATTGTATATTTATATTTGACCCTAATAAATTTGTGCTGGTTGGTAGTTTGTATTCACACGTTTCGACTTGTAAATGTAAACTTACAAGGATTATTTAAAAGAGCAACACACAAGTTTCTTGCTCGTTCTTCTTGTGATGAGACAGCTTTTTGAACTATGGCTACCTTTTACCACCAGTTAATTTGTTTGTCATTGCAATCAATTAAAAATATATTTATTAAAATCATCATTTTAAAAACGGATATTTTTTATGGATTCTTGAAAAGTTTGATTATTCATTTAATGAATTTCTTAATGAGTCATAACGTTAGTCATTTAGAAACTAGATGTATCAATGATTGTGATGAATTTCAGAATGATATCAATATTATTATTTACAACAGTAACACTGACTTTTTATTGTATTTCGTAATAATAATAATAATATCTCAGGACAATTCACACAGCGCCATCTAGTCCCAAGCTAAGCAGAGCTTGTATTATAGGAAATAGACAACTGATATAAATACATGGATCCATTTTTTTGTAAATAAAAACATATTATACATAGAATACAAACATTCATACTCATGAATTCAAATGTTTGTGCCATGCGAGGAATCGAACCCGCGACCATCGGAAGTAAAGCGGTGTGTCAGACCGCTAGACCACCGAGGTCGTCAAGTATATCCTTCGGTATGTTACGGATTGAATGAACGAGATGCAATAATCCAATGAATAGAAACGCAATATTGAATGAATATATGAATGAATTTTTAAATTGTAGAGGATGTGACTGAGTAGCAATCAACCAATTTGTGACTGGCCTAGATTCATGTAGGTGCATGTAACTTTATGAATTACTAGCTGTACCCGCGACTTCGTCCGCATAAAATAGTGACCAAATAATCAATTAATAATCTAACACAATAATAACCAAATAAAAAAATCATCTTTGTAGCTTCAAATATTACGAATATCCATATATAATGCTATCCAAGTCAATCAACAGCCTAAAAAATAAGTTAATAATTTTTAAAATGACAATTCATCCATACAACCTTGCTTCTCCCCTTTCAACCCCTTACAACCCTTTTTCGCATTAAAAAGTAGCCTATGTCCTTTCTCAGGGTCTAGACTATCTGTGTACCAAATGTCATTTAAATCGATTCAGTAGTTTTGCCGTGAAAGCGAGACAGACAGACAGACACAGAGTTACTTTCGCTTTTATAATATTAGTAAGGAGCGTATTGAGTAGGTCTGAGAATCGGCCAACATTTATATTATTTTTCATCCCCCTAAATGTTAGGGGTAGTCCACCCCTAATTTATTTTTTTATTTTAAGGCAAAACAACGTTTTCCGGGTCAGATAGTATAATTATTAATGTCAAGTAAGTGTGATGCAGACGAAGTTACTATTAAATAAGTAAATGTGGAAATATGGTTGTGGAATGAACTTCCTGCCGAGGTTTCCTCACGAGACTACAGCATGGGGTTCTTCAAGAAGGGTATATTAAGGTTTCTTAAAGGTCAGCACGGTAAAACGTTTCTATACTCGAAGAATTCGGCATTACACAGCGTCTATCAGCAACACAATCACGCAATATTACCTTCTTCGGTCACGTTTCACGAAAAAACGACGCATCCATAGAGCGACCTTTCATACAGGGTAGAGTTGATGGTACTAGACCCTGTGGACGATCACCCATGCGATGGACCGACCAAATCAAAGCAGCAATAGATCACTCCACGAGTGTACCAGAATGGCAAACAGTAGAGACAAATGACGAGCTGTTGTGCGGCAGTTCTGACAAGAATGAAGCGAATAAGAAGAAGAAGGGTCAGCAACGCGCACGTGACCCCTGGTGTATCAGGCGTCCATAGGCTACGGTAACCATTCACCATCAGATCGGCCGTATGCCTGTTTCCTACCATAGTAGTATAAAAAAAAACAAAATAAATAATGAAGACTTATCGCATCGACGTTTTAAATGATTAGGCACTTTTTAGGCTAAAGATGATTTATATAAAAATAAATATATATAACTTACGTCTTATAACACACGTTCCGAAGCAAAACCACATCCAAAATAAATATAAACACATAACAATGAACGCAGCTACCATAACAGTGCCAACAACATCCATTTTTGATGTCACATTAACAAAACACATCGTATCCACACATGTAAATTATCTTTTGAATGTATATCTTATCATATACTTTTTATAATCTGTAGACTGGAAATTCAATTCTTATATCGCTATATTGTTTTTATATACACACGACTATATTATTCATTAATCTGTATCATTTAATGATACATTTATATTCAGAATTGTTTGACGGGTGTGTAAATTCATTTTAACAACAACAATTTTGTCTCACTCTTTCAAATTAACAAAATGGTTGGTTAGAAAAGAACAAATTCAAAAAATCATTAATCGTTTGATGGTATAATGAATTAGAGGTTTCGTAATTAGGTCGTGATAACACAAAAAAGTTATTAATTAACAAATTACTAATTATATATAAATGTATAAAATAAATTTTCCATTAAAACGCTTTTATATTTATATAATTAAATTGAATAATTCATAACACTTCGGCACAACAATGTTGTTTTAAATTTTGAATTTCGAAACGTGTTCAGTCTGTTCTGAAACTCGCTAATGAAACGTTTTCCTTTCTTAAATATAATAGAACAACAGAAACTACATGTTCATGCACGCTCTAAATGCCAACTGACTTGAAGTCAACGTAAGTCGCTGACTGATCAGTAATACGAAGGTTTACCTAATGACACCCCGTCACCTACCTCTGGCGATTGACTAATCCTTCCAATTGTTATAAAATAGTCTGTCTGTATGTCCCGCGTTCACGCTAAAACTACTGAACCGATTTAAATGAAATTTGGTCCATATATAGTCTAGCTTAGACCCCTTCTTAGGGACGATTATCTACATTGTATGTGGACCAAATTACATTTAAATAAAAACAATAATATAACATAGGCTACTATTTAATGCGAAAAAAGTTTGTATGTGGTTGAAAGAGGAAATAAAAGGTTGTATGGAAATTGTTAAGTTAAATAGTTAATTTTTAGGTTTACAAAAAAAATCGCTTCAAAATCCGTTGCGTAGTTTTAAAGATTTAGGGACGGACAGACAGCGACAATGACTTTTTTTATAGTATGTAATGATAAAGATTAGTATGATATTAGTATAGTTTTTTTATGGATACTAATGGAATGGTGCACCCGCCTGCGCTAACGGTTTACGCTGGCGGGGCACCAGTGGAGATAATTAGATGAGCATGAGCTCAAAACATCCTGGTGAAAAACCAAAATTAACTATGATATCAATATATAATTTAACATAAATAAATTTTTTAAGTTTAAAAAATGAGGGTTCTAAACCTCTCAAAGCGACCACTACATCAGTTGCGGTGGTACAGGGTGGCCATCAAGTCACTTTACATTTTGAAAATTAAATAACTTTTTTTCTATTAATATATTTCTTTTTCTCTTTTCAGAATTAAAAAATATAATCCCTGGAAATTTTTGTCATGGATAAGTTAAAAAAAATTATACTATTTCGGTCCATTTAATCCAGATTGTACATGCTTATTACACTTATAACTCTCAACAATATTGATTACTAGTCTTAACTAGTCTATACATATAAATAAAATTGGAGTGTCTGTTTGTAATATTGAAATAACCGTTTTTTACCATATGCATATGAATATAAACACGGTACATACACCAAAATAACATTTTTTACAATTTTTGTCTGTCTGTTTGTTCCGGTTAATATCTGAAATGGCTGGACCGATTTTGACGGGACTTTTTTGGCAGGTAGCTAATGTAATAAAGAGTAACTTTTCGGCTACTTTTATTTTAGAAAGTATTATGTTTTTCTTTTTACAATAACAATCCAATGCGTTGACCTAATAAAGCCACTTTTTGAAATATCTCAAGTGAGATTGGGGGATGGGGCTCTCTCCCATATGAATAAAATCTCATGACATCTCACCAGAGGGGGAGAGAGGCACAGAAAAAAAAAACACCTCACGTAATTTATGTACGTAATTTATACTTTTTTTATGGAGGCGGGAACACAACGACTATTTTATCTTATTATAAATCAAATAATAGTTATAAATGTGTATAAACCTATAAAACTAACGAACGGTTAGTCAAAAGTGATATATAAAAAACAGATATATCAAATACCACGTTTATAAAAATAATGGTAGACAAGCTGCCAGCAAACAATACTTTACGTTGTAAGTCGGGGTAGCAACCCCTAAACGTCACCTAAATGACTGGCTCATCCGTCATACTCGTGAACGGGTACTTCTTGTAGGGACTGGTCTGCTCTAATCACTATGACTGATTTCCTCTTATTGTTTAACCTGTTGGTTTTATATTTTTTCTAGTTGAGTTTGTGCTAATTGGTAGTTTGTATTCACACACTTCAACTTAAAAGTGTAAAGTAACAATAAAATTATTTAAAAGAGCAACACGCAAGTTTCTTGCTCGTTCTTCTTGTGATGACACAGCTTTCCAAATGAGCGGTAGATTAAAAAAATGTGATGACTATTCAAAAGTGCTTCAATGTAAGTTTATTTGAATAAATGATTTTCTATTCTATTCTAAACCTTATCAAATGCTAAAGTAATAAACATATCAGTTGAGATTTCTCTATAATGGTATGTTATATGCATTTACGCATAAAAAAAAACAATATGCTATATGTAAACACTTAAAAACAATTGTCAAATAGCGTAAAAAAGTAAATAGCATAACGTAATGAAAACGTCGTACGTTTTGACATCTGTGGAAAATTACACGAAACTTCAAACGGTAAAAATAAACATACTCACTTGTCTTAAAAGATATAACACACAATATAACAAAGAAGTAAATTATGATGATTAAAAAACACGTACTAATCAACATGGACATTGCAATAATTACGTTAATCATTTTTAAATTAACTTTTCTTCACTCTGAGATGTTTAAAACAATTAATTAGTGAAGAATTGAATAGGAACTGAGTGATGCGTGGAAAGATAAAAATTTTATCTCAGTTTTTAGTGATAACAACATAGTGACAATCGCATTTTGTTCTCAATTGACCATTTTATTTATTTGACACCGATCATATGAGTATAGCAATGCGGTCGTTTCCCACTGGTATCATTCTTTAATTTTGTCATCTTATTTATTACGTTTTTTATGGCATTAAAGCTATTTAAATAATACATTTCAAAGGCCGACTTACTTTAACAGTAACATCTTATAAAGCAAGCTACTTAACTTAACTTTTAACTATTCTCAAGAATAGTTAAAAGTTCACTTTTGTACATATCATATCAAAATTCAATAATTATTTATTCATGTAGGACATTTTAGCCGATTATGAACGTTAAATTTTTTACATTATAATTCTAATTTTTTCCCACCCTCCAGTTCGGTATATGGATCCAATTGAGAAGAACTACTCAATTGAATTACGTTTTTTTTAAAGCCAGTTTATTTACAATGTATATTTATATAGGTGTCTATGTCTAACATTAAATGAAAATCCCGTGCATGAACAACTATTGCCATGCACGCTCGTCATTCAAATAATCGTTTAGTGAGTAATAGGCTAGCTATAGTTAGTAATAGGCATTACTCTGAAATTCGAACTGCTAGTCCTCAAACGGAAGTCATAACTGTCAGGCGGGAGTTGTCCTTCAGGAGTTCTTCCTTTGGTTTTATGGCCTCCTATCGTCCGGTGAAGCTGTAAATGCCAGCTGCGGTCAAGCATTAGCTGTTGGCCGTAGCGGCTGAAGGACAACTGCCTAATGGATTCTAACAGAAACAGCTTACAAAGCAAGCAATTTAAAAAATATAACGATGTACATATTTTTTAAATATTCTAATGCAGCTGGCCTTTACAGCTTTACCGGACGATAGGAGGCGAGTGCAAATGGAACGACAAACCAAAGGAAGGACTTATGGAGCGGCTGAAGGCCAACTCTCGCCTAACGTATACGACTTCAGTCTGAGGACTAGCAGTTCGAATCTCAGAGTAATGATATATACAAAGGTAACGACGCAAATGACTTTGTAAATTGTTTACCACGGCAATGACCACGGCTAATCGACAGGGAATTCATCATCACACTATAACCTAAGTCGCAGACCGTGCGGTTTCAGAGGAGCTTCCTCCCGCGTACACTTACATTGTGGAATGAACTACCTGCCGAGGTTTTCTCACGAGACTACAGCATGGGGTTTCTCAAGAAGGGTATATTAAGGTTTTTTTTGTGATAATGAAATGATACACCCGCCACTAGAGGATAATATGAGCATGACGTCAGATCAGTTAGCCCATCGTGACAATTTCACTTGTAATTTATCACGATGGTTTCCAGGGGGAACCGCGTGGAGGTCAACCTGACATTGATAGCAATGGGGTCAAGAGTCCACATTACTCACAATCCCCTTCCCCCTGGTATATTAAGGTTGCTTAAGAGATGGCAACGCGCACGTGAGTTCCTTCGTCATTGGGGCGTGCATAGATTACAGTAACCATTTACCACCAGATGGCGTAAGCTTGTTTACAAAAAAAATAATGTTGAAAACATAATAATTAATTAAAAAAAAACAAATCGATGATAACATTCTAGTAAGTGACTTATAAAAATACTTACTCAGCCAATAGATAGTGGATACAATCCATACGACGCCCACAAAAAGAAACAACAAGAGAATCGCGCAAACGGTCAATATGAAAAAAATTGTCAACCATTCCATGTTACAAATACTCACAACAGTCGTAAAAGTACACATATACTTTTAATATATCGTTTCGTGTACAGATAATATGTTTAATATACTTTTTAATCAAATAATCACAGATAAAGGCGTATTATTCAAAGCATCATAATGATTTGATGATTATTTTCTGCGCTGGCAGATCGGCTAAATATGGCTAATAAAAGTTTCACCTGTGAATTCGTTCGCATAATCATTATTAACGCGATAAAATGTAGAAACAGAATCCTTTATTCAAATAAACTTAATTGAAACACTTTTGAATTTCATCAATTTTTTTTTAATCTACCGCTCATTCGGGAAGCCGTCTCGTCACAAGAACGAGCAAGAAACTTGCGTGTTGCTCTTTTAAATAATTTTATTGTTACTTTACATTTAAGTGTGTGAATACAAACTACCGATTAGCACTAATTCAATTGAATATTCAAATAGAAAAAAAAATTAAAATATACAACCAACTAGTTAAATAATTAATAAGAGGAAATCAGTCATAGTGATTAGAGCAGACCAGTCTCTACAAGCAGTACTCATTGACGATCTGTGTTTAGGTCGCAGGGTGAGATGAGGCAGTGATTTTTTTTGATAAAATTCGTAACATCTTAGACCTCCGTAATGCCTATATCTGAGTGATATC